AAATTGGATATAGTGACCTATTGTGGTTATAACGATTAATTTAGATTATCATGTTCAATTTCAGCACACTGATACTGGCTGCAGATAAAGGGGCTGCTTGTGGGGAGCTAACAGTGCCATATCTCCCACGCTTAGTAGAGTCCATGTTCAGATTGCACCAAAGGTGGCAATATGGCCACAAACAATACCCAAACGAGCCAGTGAGAGCTAATGAAACACTTCAAAAGCCTTGTCTAAACTCACAACACTCCTCAAAACCAAAACATTTTGAGTAACTGGCTGTCCATTTAAAACCTGGATAACAAGGGAGAAAGTGATGTCAAAACACCCCGTGCTGGACACAGCTCATTACATGCGTCGCTATGGCCTAGTGCTGATGCAGGACAACAGTCTTGCAGCAGTAATGGATAAAGTAGATTTCACAGTAACCAAAGCCTGGCTCAGCCACTGGAAACTGTGACACAAAATGGGTTTTTAATGAATTCATGGAGAGAAAGCAGATGCTGGAAGAATGAGACTTGCCTCTCCTTCTGAGGGACTCTGATAAGCGGATGTAGTTACAATAGCGAGGAGACCAGGCTGTTTTTTTGGTGGATGATGGGAAATCAGCCAGTAACTTTTAAAGGTCCTCCTGTCCCTATGGAATAAAAGATCGGGGGGTCACAGCTATGCTGTTCTTGAATGTGTGTGGAACTAATAAGATATGTACTCACATTGTGGGGATTTCAGCAGTTTCTTATTGTTTTCTTTGGAAATTCAATACACCTGTGGAGGTTAGAAAAAACAAGCCTGAATGATTGCACTTGAGTTTGGCTTAAAATAAAAGAGAGGGATGGAGCTTGGCCATCAAATTTGGGAAAAGGAGGGGATTGCCCTTGTGACAAACTGCATTGTTGGACAAAGCACAGAATTTTCTCTTTATAATATGAATATTGTTTTCCTGCCTGCACACTCAACAAGCTTTGCACAATCCTGAGGCCAGAGCAGCATGCAGGCATTAAAAATAACCCCATTTTTCACCCTATGAACGAAAAGGTTGGCTGATGGGATAGCCTTGGGTGGAATTCAGACTGCAATGAATGTTGCTTGGCAGGTAGACTTACAGACTGTACTCTACATGATTTTATTTTGTTTTCACTACCAGGTTGTTTTCATGGTTGCTATTGTTATCCGTTTCTTGAAGCATGAATTCATGGTCCACTTAGTGGGTGGAAACAATCCTGAGGACACTATTGATGAAAATATCCCTCTACAAAAGCACTGAAACAGTTTCGCCTATTTGGAGCCCTAGCTAGGTCATAGTGAAATTACTGAGGAGGTAGCAAATGCAATGCTGTAAGATAACAGAGACCAGATGCATAAGGGGCTGGAGACGTCTTCATGGATCTTTGCATGGAGATCCCTCATACATGATTCCTCTACCTTTCTATATAGAAGGGGGAGGATGACCACCCCTGCTGCAGTATTTTCCCATTTTGTGGCTCTCGTGGCTCAGCTCCGTGTTGATAGAGATTCAGGAAGTTGAGGTGGATCAGAGGACCCACTGTGCTCAGTCCCTTGTAGACCTTCAGAGTTTCCATGTGAAATTCTGGGAGTAGTAAATAGAGCCTGGGACCGTATTAGTCCTTTAGGGTCCTCTTTGTGGCTAATGCTGAGAAGTTACAGGGTAACCCAATCATAATGGGAGCTTGGCCCTGATGGGGGCTATGCTGTGAGGGAAGGAAGGACAGGAGAACCAGCAGAAGAAGAGCTGTCCCTGCAGATTGACTCCTGTCTGCACATGAAAAAGGCCTGTTGGGGAGCAAGGCCTCCATGAGGAAAAATTCAAGAAACACTCTTTGTTGAACCCTATAGAATTCTGACTCTTCCCAAGTTTTTCTAGCACTGAGGGAATTGAGAAGAGATGAGACTACTGAAAATGAGGAAGGATCTTTGTTTACAGCGATGCACAAGGAAATAGACGTGTACAAATCCACTGTGCTATGGAAATGAGGAAAGAACAAGCACGCTGTGACTGTCACTCACTTTCTGACTTGAATTGCTCTATTGTAGTTTTCTGGAAGGCACTTAAACAGCAGAAGAGCTTTAAAAAGAGTTAACTAAAACATGGCACAGAAACGGAAATCAGAGTGGCATATGTTAATTGATGTCTGCACCACTGGCTAGAACTAGTTACAATGGCCATTCAAATATGGATCAAATAACACATTTGTCAACAATCCTTGTAATCCAGTAATCATCAGAGTTTACTGTAAAACATACAAGATATATAGTGGGGTGACCTATGTTGTGGCTGCAACCTTAACTTTTGCATTTCCTAACTTTTTGTGACATGAGTGTGAAACCTTTCACCTTTATGTTGCACTAACACAGGAATTTTTTTGCACTGCTCTGCATGTTTACGTATATGTGCACACACAAATACGTAAAAAACATACATATGATGATATGATACCATGATTTTATTGTTTTTTGTGAACATTACTCAGAAATGGTGAAATCTCATGAGTGAATTACGAAGTCATCCCAAATTAGTGCAAATAAAACCCATCCCCACAACCACACCACAACGTATTCTATTTATGCTGGATATTTTACAGAAAAACAAATTTTAAAATATTTAATGGCCTTTAAAAAATTATTAGAGAAACTTTTTACATCCCTCTCCCTGTAAACCCGTGCTGCCGGAGCACCATGAAATCAATTGTACAAGCTTGAAGAGGAAGAGAAATTATAATTATAAACTTTTTAATAGTTCTAAAAACAATCTAAAATAGTTTGCAGGCATGCTCGATCACAATATATTGGACCTAAAAACTAAAACACTACGATCAGTTGAAAAAAAAAAAGACGAAAAAGACCAGGAGGGTCACAGTACATTTCCTTTAAATATTCCCTTTCCAAAGAAGCTCAACATAAAATGAAAATCCCTAGGTGGTGCTTCAACTACTTTGACGCAATCCAGTGCTGCTTCCTCTTTGGAACAGAGTAGATGCATCACATGAGAAACTTCTGTGCCAACTTCTTTTGACCCAGATTCTATTAAAGTACCAACCTTTGATTTAAAAGCAAATTCCTTCCTTAAAGATAAAAATTATTGTATGCAGCTTGCTATGGTAACATCCTGTCCCTCCTCTTCTCCTGACCTTGGTAAAATCAACGCACTTGATCCTATTCTCAAAGTTTTATAAGTCTCCTGAATTTCTGGCCCAAGGTCAGAAAGAACGATCTCGCTGCTGGAATGCCACTTTCATGCTGATAAAATTTGCAAATATAACACTATATATTCATAAAAAGAAAAGGAGTACTTGTGGCACCTTAGAGACTAACAAATTTATTTGAGCATAAGCTTTCGTGAGCTACAGCTCACTTCATTCAGTTGAATGCATCCGATGAAGTGAGCTGTAGCTCATGAAAGCTCATGCTCAAATAAATTTGTTAGTCTCTAAGGTGCCACAAGTACTCCTTTTCTTTTTGCAAATACAGACTAACATGGCTGCTACTCTGAAACTATATATTCATACAATCTACTGGAGCAAACATGCCAACTATCCCTAGGTAAAAAGAACAGTCTCTGATTTTTAGCAAAACATTTAACATTTTACCCTCCAGAAATCTTAGTCCAATATTTTAAAGGAGTTGAAAGGTACAACCCTATTTTTATTTCCCACCAGTCCCTCTTTCTAAAGTTCAAGTGCTGACATATATCCTATATATGCAGTAAAGAGGTTAGAACTAACAAAAACAAGGATAGTTGGAACAGGTCCTTATTATTTGACTTTCTGAGCTAAATCTTCTTCACATCGAAGTAAAAAAAACTAAACTCCCATTCGCTTCAATGGAAGTAAGATCAGTGTATGTTGTCTTCTCCGTAATCACTGGCTTTTGGCGCATTATAGAAATTTCAGAAGCTTTTCAAGCACTCCCTAAAAGGTACATGCAAGAGTGTAAATCTATGATGAATGCAATTTTCTCATATCAATTCCAGGTAAGTATTCAGTGTTTAATTCTTTGCCCTTGTGCTCTTGATATTATTTTCATGCTTATGAGGAAATTTTAATAATTTCATTTTAATATTTGGCTCATTACCCTGAGCCCCATCATTTAGTTCTCCCTCAGGCAAAAGTTTGCAAGATGGGGCACTTTTAATATGTTTTAATAATTGTATGTATTCCTTTGCAACAAGAATACTTCTGCTTTCTGGTACAGCACAAAAGGATGTTTTCAAATTGTATTTTTCTCTTGTGTGGCATCTAAGATAGTTGCTAAGTCTTAAAAAGAAGATTGCTGTTTTATGTAATAGACAAAATTATATTTCTCTCTAACTTTATTAAAATCAGTGCACCTGTAAATCAGTTTGGTTCAGCCTAGCTTTGTATAAAGAATGAATAAAAGGACAATGGGACTAGTGTGGCGGCCTTTTCTATGAACATGCATTTGCTAGTAGCATGGTGATACCTTTTGCTTCCATATTCATCCTAAATAACAACCTGTCAAATGTAGGAAGAACCTCACCCTCAATACTCTTTTTACCAGCCGTAATCCTACAGAAACACGTGGCTCTGTTGCAAATAATTCACAGCATGCACAGCTAGATTTGACATTGCTGAGATCTCTTTAAGGGGAATGAATGTGACTTTGCCTACTGAATAGCATGTTTGTCCACATTTGGCCTCTTTAAGAGGCAATTGGATCAGAGCAGACTTTTAAAAATATCAAGTTGACATTGACTTTCTGTTTTCAGACTTTGTAACAGTTCTTGCTGGCCATGTCCCAAGAAGCTTTCTTCCTACTTCCATTGCTTCCCTGCTGCTTGCTGATTTAAAAAAAGTTTTCTTGTGCAACTTGAATACTGTAAATATATGTAAACAGCATATATGGATTTGTGACATCATGCTTGCTTTTAATGGCTTTACAATAGATTTGAGGACAGAGTATCTATTTTAGGTTAGTGTGAAGAAGCTAGTCATATTTATTATTGTTTTGTTTTTTCTTTGCAGGCCCTTAAGGATGATGATGCTGAGACTGGGCTGACTGATGGGGAAGATAAAGAAGAACCCAAAGAAGAGGAAAAACTAGGGAAAATCCAATATTCTTTGGATTATGACTTCCAGAACAATCAGGTGTGGAACAAACAGCCAGTGATACATTGCTGTGCAGGTGAAAGGAGACTGCAAAAATACAGACATGCAGAGTAGATACTCAGCATTCTAGCTTGCACTGAAGAAAATTAGAAAGCAAGTGTGAAGCTTTATGAAACAATTCCTTCTCCATTTATGTTTAATACATGTTAAGGGTACACTGCATTTCTAATCAAACTTTATGCCAAAGTTTTTTCTAATTATTATTATTATTTATTATTTATCATTTGTTAACTATTTGTATTACAGTATCGCCTACAAACTCCAATCAAGATTGGGCCCCATTGTGCTAGGCAGTCTATGAATGCATTGTAAGACAGTCATTGCCCTAAGGAGTTTATAATCTAAACAGACAAGACAGACAAAGTGTGGGAGGGAAAATGGAGGCACAGAGAGGCTCAGTGACTCATCCAGAGTCTCACAGCAGGTCAATGGTACAGTGGAGGATAATCTCCTGACCTCCAGTGAAATGGTCTATACATTGGCCCATGCTGTCTCTCGAATTAATTAGAATTCCAGGCTCTCTTATCTAGTTCTGTCAGGTTTAGCAGAAACGTACAGCCTGCTAATCAATCCTTAGTCTGTCAGTGAAGTTCAAATAAAAGGGTTCTGCCCTTAAGAACTCTGCAGGGAGTTGGATAGAAAAAAATCTCCTATCTCCACTAATACCACCACCTGAAATTTGGAGGCTGGAAATTGATACAATCGAGATTTGGCTGCTTCTCCAGACTATGAACGGGAACAGCAGCCGTGACCCAGTGCAGACCACCATAAATGTGGAATTTCAGGGGCGTGGATCTGTTTTCTATGGACCTGCTTCTCATGTCTTTCACCACTCCCTGAGCTTGCCCACATTCCTCTGCTCTGCCAGGCATGGAGTGCAAAGCTTCCTTGTTTGGTATCTGCACTCTTCAGTCTCCACAATTTTCATGCTCATATGCACAAGCACACACTAATTTGAAAAGGCTATTTCATTTATTTGGGACAGAAAACTCCAAAGAATGTTTCTTCTCCAAGTTATTGTCTTTGGGTGAACTTTTCATTTGAGAAATCAGATCAAAGGTTTGTTGTCTTTAAGGCTTTTAGTCAGAACAAAAAATTAGTCTCTATTTAGGGAAAGAAATGAATATTGACTGAAATTCCTGTAAATTTCTTCATCTAAACTAACTTCCATATGTAGTTTGCAATCTATTTCCACTAACATACATTCAGATTCTTTATCTAATGCTCTTCTTGGCATAAAATATATTTGTTTCAGTAGTGGAGGGGGGAGTATAGGCAGAAATTAAGAAATTCCCTGTATCTGCAGGAGGACATTGCATAAGGCTATGTCCCAGAACTATCAACTATATTCCCCAAATCATTTTAACTAACGTCTAACTGCCACTGCTTCTGCTTTTCAAAGCAAGAAGCAACAAGAATTCTGAAGTCTTTCTAGAGCCTATGGATGAAGGAACTTTTTCCTCAACTCCCCAAGCAAACCCTGTAGTAAGAATTCTCTGCCCTATACTCCTTTACCTGGCCTGTCTTCATCACTTGAAATCCATAGGAAACTTTAGAATCTTCAAAGGGCAGAAGATCTAAGGGAGAAAAAAGAAAGAATAGCTGCAAATCTTTTGTGATGAATAGATCTGAGATCCCATAGAAGATGAAAATAAACTTTCTTTGTGAATTTTATTAAGGAAATGCCACATTGAGTTTGAGAACTAAATTTTCCAAAAACAAAACAATGTGATTAAAAACCATTTATTTCTTTTCCTCACACCACATCTTTGATAGTGTGCCATGTTTAATTAAGGTGCGAAATTGTATTTGTTGTGTGTTCCTATTTTATTCTGCTGCCCTAACTCTAAGATTAAATTTCCCTTCTGAGCTCTGGTACTTCCTTGGATGTTAGTGGTGTGATGGTGCAGCAAAGTTGCATGGAGCTGGAAACTGGAAACCCAATTACCATTTGGTGTATTCAGCGGGGTTAAAAATGGGAACAAGCTGACCAAAATACTCTTTCAGGCATGATGTTTGTGTTTTAGAGCGCAAGCTTTTAAAATGGAAGTGAATTCCTTTTCCGCTCTGTTAACTGTCATAGGCTCATTTTTCACTCTTTTATATGAAAGATTTGAGGTGGATTCTGAGCCTGTCCATGTATTTATGAACTATTATGCATCTAGAATAGCAATGAGAAAGAGAAGGGAAAGTGCCGAGTAGAGGTAAAGGAAAAATGCTTCATGGAGCTTAAGAAGGTAGGAAAGCACATATGACACATTGTGAATTTAAAATAGGCAAAAATAAATCCCACTTTGAAGAATCTGGGAGAATACAGTTACTTTCCCAGGTGAGAATGTAGTTGTTCCAATTGCTTGAGCTCCTATTTTTAATTTTTACATAACTGATCTATGAGAACAAATAATGTCTTGTGGTAAAGGCACTGGATTGTGACTTAGAAGGATCTGCCTGGGTGTCCCAGCTTTGCCTCACATTTCCTTTGTGACCTCGAACAAGTCACCTAGGCCCAGAGTTTTAAGGTATTTAGGTATTGCTGCACACAGTGTTGCAACGTTTAACTAATTTAGGAGCCTAAATCTCTTTTTCAAAAAACGATTTAGGCACTCTGAGTCGATGAGATTTAGGCTCCTGTGTGCCTAAACCCCTTTATGCTCCTAAATCAGTTAGGCATTACAATGAAGTCTACAAAGATGGCTAAATGCCTTTAAAAATCTGGGCCATAAAAACTCTTTGTTCTCTGCCTGTAAAATGAGTTTGCAAATACTGCCTTTCTCTAACCCGTTGTATATGTTGTCTGTTCAGCTTGTAAGAGCTTCAGTGCTGGGAGTGTCTTTTACTACCCGCATGTACAGCGTTTAACAGAGTAGGGCCCTGATCTCAGCTGGTTCTCTAGGGGCTACTGTAATACAAATAATAGTCATCGTCAGCTCTAGAGCAGGACATCCATCTTTCTGTGACTGAAAAAAAAAGATATTGTGGGTAACATTATCGAAAGTGCCTAGGCCTGGGTTTTTAAAGGTATATAGGCATTGCTGTGCTCAGTGTAGCAACACCTAATTGATTTAGGAGCCTTTCACATTTTGAAAAGGGATTTAGGCACATAAGTGCTTAAATCCCTTTTAAAATGAGACTTAAGCTCCTAAATCAGTTAGGTGTTGCAGTGTTGCACACAGAAGTGCCTAAATACCTTCAAAAATCTGAGCCAAAGTGCCTTTACCACCTGAGTCTATTTTCAGAAGTGATTTAGACACTTAGAGTCTATACCTCATTGACTTGCAGTCACTTATATGCCTTTAAAAATATTACTGTTTAGTGCCTAAGACCCATGTTTGCACAGAGAAATAAATGTGAAGATTGCAAGACCCACTTTTTCTGTGAAAATTCTACCCCATACCAAAGATTTGCATTTAACTTTCTTGTTTCTTTTATTAGGTAGTTTGGGGATGGTTTTGGAATACAAATTTCATAGTCAAAATTGCACATTCATGATTGTTTAACAAAGTATTTTCTAATCACAGTGCCCTGCACAGAAAACGAGTGCACAAGCAACTATAGCAATTGGAAACCTATTTGATTGCAGTCTTTTTTAAAAAAATGAATTTCATATTTAACTGTAATCAGCTGCTCTTTAAAGAGCCTCTTTTCTGCTTAAAAACACACTGCTTACAGTCTCCTTCCATAACTGGTTTTATGCAGTCTATAGCTTTGCTCCGTTTGCCTTTTGTGGAGAGGCTCTTGAAAGGATGGTAGATGTTTTTGTTTGCTTTTTTCTTTTAAAGCTGAGCAACAAGCGAAAAAAAAAAAGTAGTAATGACCGAAAAATATCCATTTTTGACTACAGAAATCTTGTCTCTTCAGTATTCTGTTCTCTCTCTCTCTTTCCTTTCAGCTTTTGGTAGGGATTATTCAGGCAGCTGAGCTCCCTGCTTTAGATATGGGTGGAACATCTGATCCCTATGTGAAAGTTTTCCTGCTGCCTGATAAGAAGAAGAAATATGAAACAAAAGTCCACAGAAAGACCCTTAACCCTGTCTTCAATGAGCAATTTACGTTCAAGGTATTCCTTTGATAATTATTTGGAACTTATTTCTTTGTTCATTACATAGAGTAAAGTTTCATCTCATGCTCAGTATTGCTCATGTCTTTGTTAGTTGGTGACCTGAGGCACAGTGGATTTTTCTCTTGCAGAAACCTTTGAGATTCAGTTTTGTGATGAAAAATGTAGTCACATTGGGCCAGATCCTTTGAGGGTATAATTAGACTTAGCTTCACTCACTACAATTAAGCTATGCCCATTATTCTAACTGGAGGACTGGCCCATACCTTGTAGTTGGAGACTACTGCAAAATAGAGTGACACTTTGACAAAGGTATATGTGAATTTCACTCAGCTAGCATTTTGCAACAGTCTGATTTATGAATTCTGCTTTACTACTCCTTGTTCCCCTCCAAAATAAATTAAAGCATGAACAAGGCATATGGATGAAGGGAACAAGTAAGAGATCACTCTTGCTCGGTTTTCTTATATCCTGATATAGTAATGCTTTACCATGCTACTTTACATAAGAGGCGAAATCATGACCCCAGTTTACAGGGCACATATTAAATAAATGTAGTTAAGGGTTTGATTGTAAAATTTCAGCAGCACTATTAATAGTGACTTAAGAAAATTCTAGCCATGCTGAAAGTCCAGTTAAATGTAATAAAGAAGAATCAGGGAACATATTTCAAAGGGATTTCCTAATGCATGTCTGTCTTCTGTTACTTTAGGCTCTTCCGTGTATATGCTCCGTCTTATAATGACAGCTCCAGTTTGAGAACAGGAACAATAAGAGACTCAGGCTATGCAATCACTCAACAAGAAAGATATCCCCAGAGGTCACAGCCACTACTGCATACATAAGTCTGTTTTTCCCCTTGAAGATGTTCATAAAAATAATCCTTTTTTGGGACATTTCTTTACTGAGCTTTCCTATGAGTGTATTTAAAAGAAACCAGAGCTAAAAATTACAGATCCCAGGTTAGCATACGCAAGAAACAACAAACAAATTTGTCATCTAACAGGAAGACACAGTGAATAAATCAGAATACTCACTCACAGGCAGATAGTGTCCACTTATTTTAAGTCACGACTTTAATAGTCACATTTTGGAACCCAGAAGGAAGTGTATACTGAAATCTTTTGCCTAACAAGCTGTGATTGAGGTGTTTAGGTGCACCACAACACAGTACTGATAGTGGTCTAGATCCTGCAGTCTTTACTCAAGCAAAACTGATGGTGGTTTTGCCTAAATAAGGACCGTAGGCACCGGCTCAGTGGTATAGCTGCTTTACTTTCTGCAACCTCAGTAGTTTGTCTGCATGGCTGCATACATGCATTGCTTTCGGGTACTTCAACACAACATGATTTTATCTTGGTTTCACTGCTTTGAAGGATAAAAGCAGCTGTTCTTTGAAATACCCACGACTTAAAACATTCTAAAATCTTAAATTAACACATTTATTATCATAAATATTAAAAGGCAAAAAATGTAACCTATACAGCTACAACTTGCCCAGAATGCATGGAAATGGGAATCCAACTGAATGGGATTTATTCCATTAGCATCTGGAGGTAAAGTGCTGTTGTAATTTAAAGGGTTCTCTGTGGAGGGAAACCCAGAAACAATTTCTTGGCGGTGTTCGGTGGAATAACTTCTCAAAAAGAGAGAAATCTCTGTGTTTTTTCTGGGCTGCTATCCAGTGTCTTGCAAAGAGAAAAGTTCACCGCAGTATCTCAATTAGTGTAAGTTTTGCCATTGCCTTCACTGGTGTCCAAATTTCATCCTTTGTATTGTACATTACACCTGGGGGGATTCTGCACTACGGCATGCGTGCATAATTAACGAGCTGTGCAGAGTTTTAATTTTTTTGTGCAAGAAAAAGCTTCTGCTGAAATGTTGCTGCAATTCCACCTTTTGCCCACCCAAGGGCCTTGTGGCGCAAGAACAGCAGCAGCTCCCAGCAGAAAATAACTTCTGCAGTTCCGCCTTTTCCCCTCCAGAGCACGTGGCGGCACTAGAACATAGCGGCAGCTCTCAGTCAGCTAGGGAAGAGAGAGAGCCTGCCTTCTTCACAGCACCTGTCAGGCTAGGTCAGGAGACAGGGGCTGTAGGGAGATGGACAGAGTGAGATGCTGGTGGGGGGGGGGTCAAGCAGAAGCTCATAAGAGCTAGTGGGGGAGGACAGACTAGGGCAGGGGCTGAATGGGAGTGGAGGCACATGGCCACATGGGGGAGGGAGGTGCAGGGCCACCTAGTGATGGGGGAGGAGGTGCAGAGCTACATAGGGATGGGGGCACAGAGGCACATGGAGATAGGGCGGGGGGAACATGGACTTATGGGGACAAGGGGAGTGACTAGGTGGGGGCACAGAGACATATGGGGATGGGGGAGGGGGTACAGAGCCACATAGGGTCAGGGAAGGGGATGAAGGGCCACATGGGGAGGGGGGGAGTGTGTGTCTGAGTGGGGGTGGAGGGATACATGTGAACAGGGGGTGAAAGGACACATAGGGGTGCAGAAACACTTGGGGACAGGGGCATATGTGCCTGACTGAATGGGAGAGGCTAGGGATCAGCCAGGTTCTGCATGGGGCAAGCTCCCTAACAATCCCTCCCTGCTCCCCCAAAAAACCTGTTCCATACTTTTTCCCACCCACACCCAACAACTCTTCAAGTTCACACCCAGGGTCCTTCCCAGCAATTTAATTCTCTCTCCCTCAGCTCCTCCATTACCCCTGATTGGGGGAGTAAGCCTTTGCACTGCTTCTGAGGGGTGAAGCAAATACATTTCTGTATTGTAGTTTAAATGAATTATTACTCAGAGCTCTATATTAATATGCCGAGTAAGGAATCTGTTTGTCAAAAAACATTTCCTGAATTTTTTTTGTTGTCTGTATTGTTACAGACATACTTGCTGACAGGTATTTTGAAATAAATGACCAAAATAATTGAAACTGGTGTGATTATATTGTGTTATTTTGACAAATAAAATATGCAGAATTTTAAAATATTGGGCGAAGAATTTTTAATTTTTTGTTGCAGAATTTTAAAATTTTGGTGCAGAATTCCCCCAGGAGTAGTATGTGGAGCAGGGCTGCATGGACTTCCAGCTGTCAGTGAACATGAAGGCAGGCAGTACAGCATAGACCATCTGAAAATAAGATTGGTGACAGTGTGCTGGGTTTGCCAGATGCTATCATTTTCTTGGACACAAGAGAAAGAAAGTCAAGACACCAGGAATGTGGTTTAACTAGGTTTCAGCTTTATTAATTAGTGACACATCTGGAAACTAGCTGGCAATAACTTGTTCAGTGCAGAGACAAGTACCTTCTTAGTCTGTACCCACTTGGTGGAGGGCTCAGCCCCCTTCTCCACACACACCATTTGCCTGGCCCTAGGACCACTGCAAGAAGAGCTTGCACAAGGGTTAAGGTAGGAGCGGGAGAGTCTCCGTACTGCATCAGACATTGGAAGCCCCAACCCCATTCCCCACCTTCTTTTGTGGATGCCTTCTTCTAATCCTCTTACAATTCATGTTTATCAGAGAACTAGACCCCCTAATGAATGAGTACCTGCACTGGGCACCTGCCAAGTTGCAACATCTTGAATTTTACAACCTAACTACCCACCAAGTTCCTGGGCTGCTAAAAGAAAGGTTAAAACCCTGCTCTGCACAGACCAGTATGGGAATGAGGGGGAAATTTCTTCCCAGATTACAGAGGGTGACTAGTGCAATGCCCAGATCGAGGCCCAAATGTCCAGTCCTACTCTGATCCCAATTGGAGGAAGGGGGAGCATTTCCTCGTGGTGCAGAATGTCACCCTGAGCAGGGGGAAGGGCTTATAAACCTTCCTCTTATGAGTGAAGGAGCCAATAGACTTACTTTGTTTCCCTTCTCTCCTAACCAATCAGCAGCAGAACCTGCCTCCTAAAGCCCTCAGAGAAAGAAGGAAACGAGAGGAAGCAATCCATAAAGGGACCAAGGGTTTTCTTTGCCCTGCTGGTCCAGACAAACCCTCCCAGCCTCTGAAGCAGAGGGGAAGAGGAGGTGGCATTGTTGCCAAATCTTCTTTTAAAATGTATTTGAATAAACTACACTTTAACAAAATACAGTGCCTAAAGTTACTGAAGATAAAAATTAAATAATGGCTAATATACCTTTCCAAATTGATAGGGTACATTAAGTCTAATGCACAGTGAATATAAATTTATGAAAAGGGACACTTTAAGACACATCTGTGTTCAGGAACTTAATTTTAATATTGCTGTAAAGACAAGCGTAAATGTACTTAAAACTTTTCTTACTGTATGTTTAAACCTCCTGCGACATTTAAAAAGCGCTCATTACAGAACTAATTTACAGTATTCAAAATTACATATATTCAAAGTATACACAATTTTGCTATTGTGTTTTATCATGTTAATGCACGGGCCTGTTGCCATTGAACTTGTCATAGACTTTAGCAGAAGCAGGATCAGGTCCTTAACTTGAAATATTCTGTGTAATTTTTCTATAACACTTTTTGACTAAAGGTTAAATGCCATCAGGGCAGTCAATATTTTAAAAAGCAAGTGAAAGCCAAATAGTCACATAATATTTGAAGACCCAGAGCTCAATAGACTAGAACATTTACTTATTCATGTGGCCAAATATTGTGCCATGCTATGGTTTCCCTTTTTATAGAGAAAATTACTAGAGAAAAGTTTACTGAAGCATATGGTAACCATCTAAACTCTAACAAAATATAGAGAATTTATTAAAATTGACCAAGCCTTCAGTGCAAGTTCCAACAATTTTAATTAGGCTTTTCTAGCCAGCTACTCAAGTGTAGCTTACCTGAACAGCATCAGTTACCCCGAATATTAAAAATGTGTCTAATAAAGATCCTAACCCAGAGCATCTGTCCCATACCCATCAGAACAGCTGGAGAATTAGGAAGGACTTGGCCTGTTGCCTCTGCAATTTCTAACCATATATTGTGTCTTAGAATGAACCTTAGTATCTATGGTGTGAAAGGTATAATGTTGAAAAAATATACCTGGATAGGTAATAAATAGTTACCATGTAAGAAGACTATCTAGTCTCTAATTACCTTGTGTCAGATGCAGTAAGTCAGTTCTGTAGTTTTTCATCAGTCTCTGGGCTACTCTTTTCTGAGTGTTGACAGTATGATTTATTGGCAGAAACCATACTGCAGTATTAAAGCTCATGTATCTTTGGGGCAAATAACTGGCCTCCAGTTTCAGTTTCACCACACACACAAAATAATATTTGAGGACAGAAGGCAAAAACTGGAGAGTGATAAGTGAGCTGCCACATTGTTCTATTGAGTACCATATCCTGGTCTCAGGAAACAGTGCATCAGGTGACTACAAAAATATATACCTCATAATTTTCCTCCTGTTCAATCTACCCAGGATGACAGCTGGTAAACCAAAGAAATTGATTTGCATTGCGGTGAACCCATCTTTATTGTCTGAGCTAGAGAGCTTGTCATTTTTTCTTCTTTATAGGTGCCGTACTCCGAACTGGGTGGAAAAACCTTAGTGATGGCAGTATACGACTTTGATCGTTTCTCCAAACATGATATCATTGGGGAATATAAGGTGGCCATGAACACAGTGGACTTTGGTCATGTGACTGAGGAGTGGCGGGATTTGCAAAGTGCTGAGAAGGAAGAGGTAGGAAAAACAATTGTCATCTTTTTGGCTGCATACTTTTATCATCGGCTGGGGAAACAGTCAAACTAGTAAGTGGGAATTGACTTATAGCAAGAAACCTATCAATATTTCTCAAGTTAGCCTGATAAACCTTTCCATAGCTTGATGGAACTAAACCGTCTTGTAAACATGTATTGCTATCAGAAGATTTTCAAGGTGCATTATACCTTATTACCCCCTACTTCCAATCATTTGTGACAGTTTAGGCACTATGTTGTGGGACAGACTTAAAAAGGTGACCTTTCTCTTGAGTGGGTGCAGGTTGCACCCACAACATTTGCACCCTCATTTGCAGTTGAATAGTGAGAGTGATTTGCCCCTGCGGTTAATAGTGAAACATACATTTGAGAATTTGTATCTCTATGGATCAAATTGTGAGGGAAGATGTTGGTTTTAACATGCTAGATTGTTATTATCATGTAACAATTCAAACAGTATTCAGTGATAAAAACGATGTATTAAAAAAGCATGCATTGGAATGAACTGTACTGTACCATAATATTATTCTCTCCCTTGCCTTTTGCTGTCTCTAAAGATCTGTTTTGTCACAGTCAGCTTCGGAGAAGGACATTTGTAATAATTTGCTATCTAAAGTGCTATGTACACATATAGCACTCTTTAGAAATATTTAATGACTAAATGTTCATTCTGCAGTGTTGTTCAGACCAGCTTATCCACATTTTTCTTATCATGAGAACATTTTTCTTAAATTTTACATTAGTTTTCATTTTGATTATCAGATAATAAATAGCTTCCCACTCATAATAGACAGAATGTACAGCATGTTTCAGTTTTCTGGCGAGGCTAGAATGAATCTGAGTCTGATTTCCTTATTGTCTAGTTTAGCCAAAAATTGCTTTAGATTCCAACCTTGTTTTCTATGATTAGAGGGGCAACCTCTGGACAAAATCCTTCCCCAATCCATGTGAAGAAAAGCTGAATACTGGATTCAAGACCCCTGTTCTGAACAATATATTGGTTTAAATTTTCTTCCTTCCCTCTTTATATCTTCATCACCAGTGTCTTCTCAGATCTTCAGTTATGTATTTCACACTCTGCCTTTTCTGTGTTAGCTTTTGATGACTGTATCTGCCGACAGGTTTCTGTTTTTCTGGTGTATACTCATTTGAAAGTCACTGCTGCATTTAGATTTTTTTCTGTGGCATTTTCTTGGTCGTCACATCTTTCGTAGGTTTCTCTTACTAAAAAAGTATGTAACATTAGTAGCCGTGTATTGTGGCATATTTCTATCCCGGTCTTAAAGCAAAGATCAAAAGAAGTGGAAAAGGACCTAGGGGTGACAGTGGACGAGAAGCTGGATATGAGTCAGCAGTGTGCCCTTGTTGCCAAGAAGGCCAATGGCATTTTGGGGTGTATAAGTAGGGGCATAGCGAGCAGATCGAGGGATGTGATCGTTCCCCTCTATTCGACATTGGTGAGGCCTCATCTGGAGTACTGTGTCCAGTTTTGGGCCCCACACTACAAGAAGGATGTGGATAAATTGGAGAGAGTCCAGCGAAGGGCAACAAAAATGATTAGGGGTCTGGAACACATGACTTATGAGGAGAGGCTGAGGGAGCTGGGATTGTTTAGCCTGCAGAAGAGAAGAATGAGGGGGGATTTGATAGCTGCTTTCAACTACCTGAAAGGGGGTTCCAAAGAGGATGGCTCTAGACTGTTCTCAATGGTAGCAGATGACAGAACGAGGAGTAATGGTCTCAAGTTGCAGTGGGGGAGGTTTAGATTGGATATTAGGAAAAACTTTTTCACTAAGAGGGTGGTGAAACACTGGAATGCGTTACCTAGGGAGGTGGTAGAATCTCCTTCCTTAGAGGTTTTTAAGGTCAGGCTTGACAAAGCCCTGGCTGGGATGATTTAACTGGGAATTGGTCCTGCTTCAAGCAGGGGGTTGGACTAGATGACCTTCTGGGGTCCCTTCCAACCCTGATATTCTATGATTCTATGATAAGTATGTGAATCATATTACCTGAAGAGGGCCTGATCCTGGGTAACTCTTCTTTAAAGTCTGTGCACACAGGAGAGTCAGAAAACGTTAAACCAGTGTGTATTTGGTCACTCCAATCTGTAGTAAGTGTCATGAATGCCAAGGAATCAGATTTTTACTTCACTATCTCATGACTTCTATTTTGTCACAATAAAAGCTACAATCAGACAGTATTGGTGTCTCACACCACTGCACCTCAAAAAGCATAAAATAAGCCAAATGATGCATGAAAAGTATTTGAACCTTTACCTCTTTAACAAAAACTTAACCTTTTAAGCAAACTATTATTCTCATGTGCAGACAGCCAGTAAAATAATACAGGTTAGTGCTGGGTTTAGCTTGTAATGTGACAGATGGAAAGTACCTGTTCAACAGACTGTTATGTCTGCAGTAATATTTGACTTAGTCCCTCTGTTCTTTGGTAAAGTTCACACACTGCTAATACACAATGATGTTAAAGTTGCTACAGACAGATGTTCTACAGGGCATGCTACCCTTGTCAGTCAAATACTTGCACAGCAGACTTCTGACTTGACTGGAGCCTGGCTTTTTATTAAAGGTGAAGCTAATTAATTAAAAACATACATTGTTCCTGAATTTGGAAGTTAATAAATATTATAATTCATGTAAAGTACATTGTGGACTTAAATTTCAAAAGGGCAAAAGCCTAGGGCTGCATGTAATAATGCACTTTATTTGTAAATGCAGTGGCCGCAATTGCACTGACAAATGTGGTATTTGTATGTACGCATAGAAGTTAGACATCTAACTGGCCATGTGCACATACAGATACCATATTTGCATGAGCATTGTGCTAACTAATGGATCCCTTCATTGGTTCCCACCAGTTCACATTTAAGTTTTTGCCCTCACAAGTAAAGCCTCTTACAACATTGCCCCTCCCTATTTATTCACTTGGTCTCTTATCTCATTGCCCTACCTTCTTCCATTGTGGTTTGATCCTGCAAGGTGAAGACTCCTGCAAGATACTAAGTGTCCTCCACTCCCATCAGTGGGCTGAGAGTGCTCAGCTTTTTTCAGAATCAAACCCTTAATGGCATGGTGGAAAGATACTTGTCAACATGTCATTTCCTAAACCACCCCACCCAGGTGCAGGCCCAGCTCAATAGGTGAAGCTCCATGTCCAGCAGCACCAGGGCCAGGAAGGGAACAGGACAGCATAGCCGTGGGAGGGCCCCGCCTGTACACAGACATGCATATTGGTGATGCTCTGACAGGTTCCTCTAAACCCAGGAATGGCAAGAGGCAGTGGGCTGGAGCAGGGAGCCAGACCCAGCCACACAGGACAGGAACCACTACTGCAGGATCCAGGCAGAGCTGGTTCAACACCGCCCCCCAAGAATGTTTTCCCCAGATGCCTGGAGCTAGGGTAAATAACCCCAAGAATGAATCATTTCCCTCATCCTCCCTCTATTCTTCTCTCTTTGTTAATTATATTCACTCACTGAAGCAGTTTCAAATTTGATTGCAAGGTCTTTGGTGCTACCCTAAGTTTGTATGGCACCAAGCATGATGTGGAACTGATCCTGATTGGTGTTTCTAGATGTGATCACAATATGAATAACAAATAAAGATAATAGCTGCTATGCGTGCAGGTCAGATGTACAATTGTGCATAGCTCAGGGCTTCTGTCCCTTTGAAAATCAGGTCCCTAAATCTCAAACACATGCATCAAAAGACCAAATAATTCCCATTTCTCATTCATTTTAAGCTTAATTCTCTTCTCTATTGCTGCCTAATCGCTCCTGGCTATATTCCAGGTATCATATGTACAGAGGAGAATTTCCATTTGTGTATAATCTAGTTTGGTTTGGTTTCCAACTATTATTATGTGGCGATTTCCTTTTATAACCATTAGGCAATTTGACATGGAAAAATTTCCTACTGCATAAAAATATTTTGTCTTGTGGATGATTGAATCCAACCACTAAATACATTCCAATAGTAAATTTCCAATTTCTTTTTATATCTCTGATTATATGCCACATCTATTCATGTGAGTTTCCAATAAATGTGGAAAATTATCATTGTTTAGGTTAGCTGAAGGCTTAGATTAAGTTTAGATTTCTTAATGTTAGAGAGTTGTTCTTTTGACAATAGACAGCACTGCAGTATACAAAGCTATCACGGCACCCGTGCCAGTTGTGGCATTTTTGTTGTTGTCGTTAATTATTCTAAACTCATTTCTTGTGGACATCATGGAAAAAGTGGGATTTTAGGAGTGATTTGAATGAGTGGAGGGTTGTTGTGCAAACTGTGATGCATTTGATAGATAAGCATTTTCACGCAATAGACTCAGACCTTACTTCCACCTTGCTCCCCCCTCTCCTTTCCCACACCCATGACAGACTTATACAAACCTCCAAAGACTAGAAGAGAAGAGCTCTTTGTTTAAGAATATTGGATTTTGCACTGTTCTTAGTTGATCTCTGAAAGATGAGCCTTGCACACAGTCTCCTCAGAATGGATTTTGTTATTCATTTAGATTCTAAAGGACTTATTCAGATGAGGATAATAATGCTATGGTGATTGCATAAGAGTTTTTTGAAAACATTCACTAGTCTAAAATCACTTACAGGTTCTTTACTAACCAATTTATGCAACGTGCAGTGCAATACAACGCAGTTTAGCGTGATACTGTATTGTGTTTTGCAAACAAAAGTGTCATAATGTACCTCCCTTATAGCACCATATAATGTTTTCAAAATGTAGTAAGAAGAGAGGTAAGCAGGAATTCAAGGAACAAGCCAGGAGATATCTGGATGTAGTTAATATAGTAGAGGTGCTTTCTGAACTGTGTTGTTAAAAGTGTCAGTGAGAGGCTTAGCCAAGGTTCCCTTTCACCTAGGAGGGGGAAATTAGCATGCAGAGGGTCTCCTCTGTGCGTGGAATTGTGGTGCGGGAACAATCCTTCCCCACCCGTCCCCTTGGGTGAGATCAATGACAAGGGGAAAGGCAATTCTGAACTTCTTTCCTTATGTTGATAACCAGTATTTACCCCCCCCACCTCTTGCCCCATGTTATAGGGGTTGGATTTCACTTCTTAAACCACTCAGCACTTCACTCACATTTATGGCTACCTCTTCACTGCAGAGTTAATTCAAGTTGACTCCTCTTGAGTTAACCTAATCTGAGTGAAAATTAATCCTTGAGCTACACAGAGTGCTTGGATTATGGCAAAGAGTGTTGTACTAGCCGCTGACGAGTTGTGCTAATTCAGGCTGTAGCCTGTGCTCACAGTGGGCTAGCCAACTTGAATTAAAAGTTCCACCAGGCTCAAGTTACAGGTTTGTGTGTGTGTGGATAGGACTCAAGTTGCGGGCAACACTTGGGTTATAACTGCAAGGAAGATAAGCCCACCTAACCCGGTTATTTGGGTTCTATGCAATGGATTTCATCCAAAGAGTCTTAATTTGAGCCTGATTCAGAAAAACGTCATTGCTTATGCTAATTCTGGAACCTAAATCTCTCCAAGAACAACAGAGAGAAATCTGTAAATGGT